ACGTTAAAATTTCACAATTTTCAATTTATTCATCATATGTTCACGTTTTTTGTATTTCTTTTATTTCAACTGAATAAACATTCCTGTTGCCATTGTAACTATGTGACATCATATTACTGCTGTACAAGATGCAAAAGTTCTTGGATTGAAGACATCATACATCTTTGCACCAAAATGGGTACTGTCCTCTCGGATATTCCATCAGGACATTGCTCCAAGCCATAGGTCTAACTTGGTGCAGGACACCATTTCCATCAATCTCCAAATGGAACTGCAAGACCAGGCACCCTTTTCACCTGATACGGCAGTATAAGATTTTGCTTTTTTCAATAGGTTGAAGGAAGCTCTGAGGGGGATTCGCTTTGGCTCAGTTGATGATCTTAAAGCAGGTGTTAAGAATGCACTAATTTGAGGAGAAGTTTCCAGCTGGGTTCTGTGACCAATACAAGCAATGGGTTCAGAGACAGAAGCTATGTATTCAACACGATGGTTCATATTTTGAGCATTTTATGTAGATGACAGTGAAGGACTATGTGAATATATAATCTTACAAGCATACAAAGACATCAAAGGGTGTTAAATATATCGTAAAATGTGACTAAAACGTTTAGATTTAATGATCCAAACCGTAATACTAAACAGTGCCCCGCATACCCTTTTGTGACGTCACATGATGTTGGATAACTTAAAAACTAGTTAGACATTTTCAAAAAATTAATTTAATACAATGATTTGAAAATAAATTGTACACATACTGTGAAAATTTCAATGAAAAATATTATAAACTAATAAAATGAGAGCGTTTTTCCGGGAACTTATTGAACGACCTGGTATTACAATCTATGTATTTGTAGATGTCTACATGTAGATGTATTTATAATTTAGTCTGTGCATTTTCAAAATTTCTAGTCTGTGAAATCTAGTCATTTCTATGCATATTTAAAATGGTGTCTACATGTAGATGTAGTATTTATATTTCTAGTCATAGTGAAATCTAGTCGTTTCAAGTTTTTACATTTCCAGTCAAAGTGAAATATCTAATCATTTTAAGTTGTATTCATATATCTAGTTAGAGTGAAATCTAGTCATTTCAAATTCATTTGAAAGCTAGCCATTGTATCATACTTATACACATCATAAGTATTTATTAACATTAATGTGCATATCTTTAATGTATTGAAATATTTTAAGTAGATTAATGCAAAATTAAATACCTGTTTGTTAAACTTTTAGAGGGAAGCTGAGCATGTTAAAAGCTGTGTAGAATCTAATATGAAAAATCTCCATGTCTTTGCCTCACCAAGCTCAAAACTTAAAGCTCCAAATATCCAAATCAAACTAATAAACCACATCCTGACATCTGTCATGTCTAGCCCAGTTGAATGACTATATCATATTTGACCCCATCCTATATTGTGACTAAATTTGTTCAGAGGGGTTGAGTATGCAATTGTAATAGCCATCACATTTTATGGTCTATATTGATATTAACAGGTCATACATACCCCATTTAGACCAATATATCAATTGTTCTCAATATTGTGACATCACATATTATGTCAGAATTGCAGATAAAAATAAAATAATTAAAAATATCATAGTAATATTATTCATCTAGAGTGTTACTATGAATGGTATCCAGAATACTAAATTAAAACATTTTTCTCAAAAAATATAAATAATGGCTGTATCAACCCCTACCCCAAACATGCAAAAATCATAATTTGCTTTAAAAAATTCAATTCCGGTTTTGAGATTATAAAGTTTTATCTTGGAAATTTGAATTTCACAAGATGGCGGAACCAACATGGTTTGAAAATCTACAAAAAAATATTGCAAGCAAGATCATTTGAAGACAATGATGGTTACTGGGTTTGGCAGGGCCTACTACACTGGGGTATAGTAGGCTCTCCATTTCATTTCCTTGGGAGTTCCAATATTCCAAAAAATACATTATATGCCCACCAAGTTTAAGTAATTTTTAAGTTAAATAGATTTGATTTTTTGTTTGAGGTAAGTGGTAATGCAAAGGAATTCTAACATTTGTGCCATGTTAAGCATTGTGTGAATCCAACACATTCAGTTCTAGAGCCCCATTCAACAAAAAAGGCCACGCAGCCCTTTAAACTTTTAATGCATAGGCGATGCAGCAAAAGAGTCATGACAAACCATTTTGCATTTTAAAAAATACTTTTTGCTATATTTATTAATGTATATACAGCCATAAGTCAAGTGGGTTATCTGGACATTTATAACTCATCTTTGGCAGATCAGATGAGTCTATAACCCTGTTTCAGCACCAACAATGGTAGCATCAATGACTATGCCAAAACAAGCCATCACCCATACACCAATTATTAGAATTTACACATTTCACTGTACATATGTTTGTTTCTATTTTCAGGTTAGACATTCTGATAACTGTGATCAAAATGAAAAATAATTTATTATTAGCTGTTAATTTCTGGTGTATACTCCTTTACCAGGTTCTTCAATAAGTTCACAGAAAAATGCTCTCATTTCAATAGTTTTTGATATTTTCTTGTGAACATTTCACATAACGTGAAAAAAAGATTTTCTTATTGATTCTGGAAATATCAGTTTCTCTTATTTGATTGGTAAAAAATAATGGTAACTATGGTAACTTTACTTACGTCACACATTTACATCACAAATTTTACCATTACAGAAAACTATCAATATGTTCTTATTTAAAATAAGAATGTACTGAGGGAGAACTGATGTTCATAGTTTTTACTGACATTTCTGGGATCCTGCTAGTCCATGCTGTACCAGAGAGCCAGAAAATCAACAAAAAGTATAATGCTATGGTAAGTAAAGCTATCTGTTGAATTCAGCTGATTTTGGTCATCAAAATTCAATATCTTGGAAGTTCATGGAGCAATCCAATTTACCCTTAAAATAAATAAAACATATCTCAAATATGACCAGTTGTGTCCATACTACTTCCAGAAATTAACTGCAAAGGAGAAAGAAAAAAATATAACAAATGTTATAGACTGCAATCTATACCAAAGAATAATAACCATCAATAAGAATCTGAGATTGACAACCTTTCAAAGTGTGCATTTGAAAGTAAAGGTCACAAGGGAGAAATTCAGTCAAAAAAAGAATGCTGGCAAAAAGAAGGCATTCTGAGCTGAGAAAACAGCCAAGATTTTTGTATTGACTGTTATCTATAGGCCTGTTGAGAAGGAATGTTGATGCAGCATCCACACTGAATACAGACAAAGCAATCAAAGGAACAATGGCATACATGATTTATTAAAAAAAGAGATTTTATTCATGAAAAATATTTTTAAATCTATTTATTTATGAAAGAATAGAGTATAATAAATATGCCGGACTATGCCCCTATGCTGGTGTTTAAAGGAACTTTTCTTCTCAAAGCTTTAGTGAAAAAATGATTGGCAAAACCACCGATCAATGTTTTAAGTTCTAAAGAACAAGGATGTCAGAATCCTTTTTGGGACTAAAATATTCCAGCAAGGATCACACATTTCCGTAGGAGTATAATTGATGATACACTTGTTGCAAAAATATCACTGCAATCTAGTATGAAAAAATCATAACTTATGTCACAACCAATATATTCAAGCCACTCCTGCCGCTATACCAATGCTTCAAGAACATTGATGACATGTTCAATGCTGAATTTAACATATGTTCTAAATAACAAATACCAAAAATAGTGAGGTATATCCAAACAATGAAGATTTTATTCTTTGCAACAATAGACTACCAAAAAAGGACAAGTTACTTTACCTTAAAATGAAATACTACATATATAAAACCAAACTAGCACAAGAAAAACCAGACTTACAAAGATGGAAGAACAGTTTGAAGCAAGACATACTAATTTCAAAGGAAGCAAAGAGTTACAACGACAGTTGGAGCCTCCTAAAAATATTCATATGAGCCCCCTTGCATCCCCAACTTATAAACTATGTTAAAAAGTATCAACAAATAACCCATACACATATATTGGAATTAGCCAATTTATTAAAAAGACTATTTTTTCATAGCACACTCTCTATTATGTAATAATGCTATAATATCCATCAGATAAAGCCTCTACATTATTTGAAGAAATAGCCAAGATCAATTATCCATGATAACTCAAACTGTGGATTGCGATTGCTTGATGAATGACTCCTCTGTACCAGTAGACGCAGCCTCCAGTTGGTGGCAATAGATTACACAATTGCATTGCTCAAGCTAAAGAGAGAAAATGTACACACACGCTGATGCAGTCTTAGTAAACATAAAGCACTGCTACATATGCCCGCAAACGAAAATGAATGAAACTAATTGCTGAGCTTTAAATACATTTTCCAAACATCAGAAATCTTCTCGTTGTGAGCAAACAACCGAGGATATGTGAAATGCATTTTGAAGCCACCGGGCGTAAGCCGAATAAGAAGGTTAGTTGTGCAATTAATTGTATAAAAAATCTTTTAATGACCAAAACCTCTATATCACATTCATTTAATTGTTTAAAGTCATAGGTAACATACCTCCATATTGTTTAATATGTATATAAGTTATTGATCTCTTGAAAGACATTTAAGGAACACCAAGATACGAATCCAAGTTAAAAAATAAAAAATAAGAAATAAAAGTGCTATCCTTTGAAGAGGTCTTAAGGGAGAAATTCAGTCAAAAAGAATAATGCTGACAAAAAGAAAGCATTCTGAGCTTAGAAAATGGCCAAGATTTTTGAATTGGTTGTAGGCCTCTTGAGAAGGAATGTTGATTTCCACATTAAATACAGAGCTGAGAGAAAACACAAAAGGATAGGTGTGTTCTTTGCATCATGTCTAGTATAAAACGTGTGGCTGTTTGCCAAGTATTAATGACAACCATATTAATGCCGAGCAGTATTTGATACATGAATGTTGGCATTGGTGGGCTTGTCAATAAAAAATTAAATATGTGATTTCTCTCAGTAAATGTTAAAGATCTGCAACTCCATAAATTATATATGTAAGGGGCAAAGCAATATGCCTCGATGAATTCTCATCTGTCAAAGGTAAGGAGGATAACAGAGATTTACATTTTAAAGCCCACAGTATTCCTCACATTAGTGCTACTGAAAAAAAAATTCCAGAAAATAAATGTCAAAGGAAGATTATGGTTTGTGGTCAAAAGGGAGGGGGTGGACATTATTTGTGTTCACTTCAGATCATGTTTTTGGGTCTATTTCCTGTTCTTATGACATGTTTACACTTGGGAGTTTACAGTTTTTGGTCCTTTCAAAAATCAACTGTAAACCTTCATTCCAGAATCAAAGAAACAATGGCAGACATGGGATACTATTTATAAAATATATTTCAAAATCTATTCATTTATGAAAGAATAAAGAGTATAATAAATATGCCGGACTATGCCCCTATGCTGGTGTAAAAGGGAACTTTTATTCTCTATATAAAAGACATTGGATATGATTCACAATAATAACAACAATCAAAAAGAGTTTATTCAAATAATTTAATGAATTTTCAATAAATATGAATTACAAATAAACCATTCATAAATGTCTGTATATTTCGTTACGTGTGAGTACCTATTTCATTACTACATTCATTAAAATAAAAACTAGATAAATGACAGGTTTACAGTCATTTTCATATAGTAAATAAATTATATTGTAATCATATCTCTATTTCGGTGAAAGTATTGAGTTCATACTCAAAAATAAATTTTGAAAATATGCAATTACTGTATCGATTTACAGTAATCAAGTCAGTATCGGGACTCTGTTGTCGAAGTCAGTGAAAGAAAAAAAGGTCTAATACAAGCGGAAAAACCAATACACTGTATTTCTAATTGACTCGCAAAATTACATGGATTTTGCAACATGGAATCTGGAGCCCAGTTTGGAATTTTTTGATCACAGTTGTAAAATGTACTTGAAACACAAGTAATCACTTTTAAATTGGTTACAATCACTTTTCCAGAGAGAGTGAGAGCCTGACCTAGCCCTAGTAAAACCACAGGATCTATCCACAAGTAGGTCCCTTGAGAGTGTAATACAAACAAAGAATGTTACTCAAGAACTCATATGGAACATGGATGAGAAATGAATTCAATTTCTACACTCACTTGTGAGAGTTGTTGCCAAAAGACAAATGAAGAGTGAATTGGATGAGTGTCCAATAGCTCCCATGCTTGTGGTTTGGGGAAGACAAAAGGTTTCTTGTACAACTGGAACACAAGTAAAAAATACTCAACATATTCTTGATAAAAGAAAATAAAAACTATTAAAGCACCCATATAAAGCAAGAAAACAATGATAATGTATTTAAATAAAAAAATAAAAAGCTTTCTAGTTGAAAGCATAGTAATCATTGAAGCTCGGCATGGACATTAACCTTCAGCATGCTGCCTTATTTGAACAAATGTATCCCACGCAACTGGCTTATTTTTCAGAGTGCAAAAAATGATATGCCTGGACTAAATAATTAATATCTCAATAGCTACTGAATGAATCTGGATAACATTTTCACAAAAGGAAGATACACTGGTCTGGTTGTGAAAAAATTCTCATGATTGTTTTTGTAAATAAACATGACTGGGCAGAAATAAGTAACCATGAATACTCCTCTGGAATCTCACCCCTGGGAAGATTCAATGTCTGGTCAGAATCCAAAACTGAATTTGCAGCATCGAATGTTCAGCTTTTCAATTCAGAAAATATTCTACTTTCTATCAACTTCCATGAGCCTTAAGAGCTCAGAATCTCAATCCCTTTCCTCCACAATTTCTTTGTGATCATTTTTGGTTGCATTTTTGAACAATTTGTACACTAAAAACGACTGAAACTCTGTTTAAATTGTTGAATTATAAATATTTTTTGAAAGATCGCCATTTTTGGTCAACAGGAAGTCACGTTAGGCACCCTTTCAGCCATTGTTTCCTAAAAATTAACACTCGATGCTGTGAAACTCATGCAAATTTCAGAAAACAACAGCTTCAGTAAATAGTCATTCCACAATGCATTGAGAAAATGGCTTAAATCCTTAAACCATGATGCTGAGACAGGGAGATGTCATTTTAGCAGGGATTCCCAAATCTGTTTACATATGTCACCCAGTGTAATTTACAGGGTGTCCCAGAACTCATGAGAATTGTTTTAGAGAGATATAAGGCATAAGTGATTTTACTTCAAATTTGGTACACTAATGAAACACACTTTTGGGAATAACTGACATGAATTTCAGGCACATATCTTTTATATTTCTGAATTTATTGACATTTGAATTCTACATCGCCACAAACCCCGGAGTTATCGGGAAAATTCAACAGTTTATGTCACATTTTGTCAATTTTATACAAATTCTCATCTATAAACCAATGTTTTTTGTATAAGCTTAGTTCAGCATTTTTCTCATATTGATGATGCACTTTGATAAAAACGATATATAAACTTTGATAGAGACCCAATACATCAACAGATTGTACATTTGGTTTGCTGAAAGATCATAATGACATGTTCCTGAGGGACTGAAAGAAATGTCCCCATTTGCTAGCCAATATGATCTTGCATATTGACAATGCACCAGTGAATAAGTCACTACATGCATGTCAGTATTGCATCCAATTTACTTTCTATTGAGACTTCACAGTATGTAGTAGCTCCATATACTTGCCAGATTTTACTCTACTAGACTTTTGATTTCTTTGGGGACCTTGAACAAAGATTAGTGGGCCATGTCACTGAAACGGAGGAAGAATTGAGTCATGCTGTTTCAGAGGATCCTACAGCAATGGCTATTGGACGATTTGGGAATGTGTATAAAAATAGCTGAAAAGATGACATCAACTGCAGATAATATGCTATAATAACTCTGTAGATATATGTTAGCTGAATGTGTATGATCCTATTAACTGATGTACTGAAACGCTGAAATAATTCAATGAAAACAATGCTATTAGAGTAGAGAAGTTGTATAATAGTATCAAAATGTGACGTATACTGGTATATTGTTGTATTTCTCTGACTACTCCGGGGTTTGTGGCGATGTAGAATTCAAATGTCAATAAATTCGGAAATATAAAAGACATGTTCCTGAAATTCATGTCAGTTATTCCTCAATGTTTGTTAATTAAGTGCACTTAATTTGAAGGAAAATCATTCATGCCTTATATCTCCCTCAAAAAATTCTCATGAGTTCTGGGACACCCTGTAAGTTTAGCCAGTAGCATGGTTAAATGGTTTGCTGATGTAACCAGTCTATAAATACCCTGGGCATGCTTATGTTTATATTCACTGCAAGAAATTGACCAAAAACGTGTTCTTTTAGAGAACTTTTGGTTCTGCCAAATTACAATGATGAATTTTACAAAAGATGTTTTGAGTGCATTTACGATTTCATTACTTATATGAACTTTTGGTAACATTCCAAGTACTTGTCTCAAGCACATATTTAAACACACATTTGTAGGAAAACTCCGTGTTTTGAAAAAGTTAAATATTTATTATCTTTTGCAGATGGATTCATGTGGTGCCTGCAGAACAACCTGAATGAAAAATTTTCTGAAAATGACCTTGATGTGCCCTCAGCCTTGGACACTATACTTAACCCAAACAGCTACCAGGCAGATGCTGACAATGGGTGCCTTCAACATCCAGAATAAATTTTTAAAAAGCAGGCCAAACTGGGTTAAGAGAGACTTGACAAACTGATTAATGTAGCCATTAATGCAATTCAAAACACAGATTATGATGACACTGGTGCCCGTCAACAGTTTGTGCCTATGAAAGACCAGCCCAAAGTGTAATTCGAAAGCTACATGGGTCAATTTGTGTGGAGGTACTTCCTATTAGGTCACATTTAAGACTTACTGGATCAAATCAGATGATTAATATTGACAGTTCAATCTGTTCATGCAATAAATTGATTAATTGATACTGTTGTAATTATTAATGTGACCACACTTAAAGATATGAACAATATTTCAAAATATTAGGTTGTGTATTTAATCAGTAACAATAAGGAAATCAAACTAGTTTTACATTATTATTAGGCCTCATTTGATAGGCATATTAAGACTCTTGATCTCATATAAAATTGTTGATTGAGATAAATCAATTATAAATGAAGTTGATTTTTGATGAATCAAAGGTCAAAAAAAAAAATTCTGTGAATTTAATTTTTGAAATAAAACCATAAATGAATCAGGAAAGTCACATTTTTATGTAAATCTATAAACTTTTGTAGGATGGAACTAACGAAATGACATTAAAAAAATTTGAATTCCATACCAAAATCTTGCAAACAGAAGTTTTCTACGAAAGAGAATTCACAGTTCTTAAGGGTTTTGATAAATGAAAATATGATAAAATATGTTACAATGCCATCTATAAAATAATTTCAAAACATTTTCAATTGGCCAGTTAGAAATGCCAAATTGGTTATTGCAGAGAGAGGGCTACTGAGCACTTCCAGATAAGGTCTTCTGGAGATGAGAATGATGGTTTCATTTCTGAGAATGAGGAAGGCTGTCTGGATGAGGATATGATGAAAGGGGATTTTAGACACAATATTACTGATTGTTTCTAATGAAATAAGTAATCTAAATTTCAATCTAAAATTAATCCCAAATATTTTATATTTCGATAAGAAAAATTAAAAAAGTAATTTAATGGTAGCTTTCAAAGCCATGAACAAGAAATATTAAAGATTGAGTAATGGGCTAGACAAATCTAATCAAGTACTGAGGTATACCAAAATGTGTCAGAAATTTCAACAAAAAACTCAAATTACCCCAACAAAAATGAAAAGCTGTAAGTGGCCAATGTGAGCCAGAATGATGACAAGGATCAATTAACTGATAAGAGTCTGAAGTTAATTGAACAAATTGAAGATCTTAAGCTTCAAAGTCAAGAAAATGTGCAACTTGGAAAAACATAACAAAATAAAATAACAATTTGATGTTATCAAACTCCATTTCACTGACCTCTCCAACAGCTATTAATGTGCTCTTATTTTATACTTATTTATTTATTAGGGCTATTTTTATATTCAATTCATGTTTAATGAAGCAGTATATAAACCTATCTCAGGTGTCCACTGTAAATAATTTGTCTGATTCAATGATATATATGAAGAAAATATTAAATAAAAAACAATCTAAAAGAAGAAAATATATTCATATTTAGAACCATTTTAAATGAATGCCGCCTTGTTTCCAAGGAACATGCATACATTGAAGGAGATATGGAGATCTCAAAGAAACACAAAATGGTCTATGGAAAAGACTCACACATGATGAACAGGACTGCACTGTTGAGAAAATAAA